AAATTTTATTACTTATGTTTATTAAATTTAATTTGAATATCTTAGGTATGTCAGGAAGACATTTGATGTCTAATTCAACATGAAAAGACACCTGTAAAATATTTTTTGTTAACAATGCAATTATCGTTGAGTGATAATTGCCCACTGTGCAATCACCGCTGTAATTTTTCGATAATTGCACACTTCAAACGGACAGATTATCATACGAAGGAAATATTCAAATTTAATACGCCAACCAATGAATAAACCTGAATATCAATGCGTCTACCGATTACTTAAGTTCAGGATCTTTCTAAGACAGGGCGTGTACTTTTGGGATAACGTCCATTTTTTGGGCAGCATTGACTTGGATGGAAAAATAACCTTTTAGTTCAGTTTCCATTAAATTTCCAGTCCGTTCAGAGTAAATTATCAGCTACCGATGGTAAAAATTTCAAGTTACTACTTTATTTCGATTGGAAGTTGTATATTTTTAAATCAAGGCGTGTAATTTCGACAAAACGTTCATTTTCTGGGCAGCATTGACTTGGTTGGAAAAAAACATATTTTGGTTTGATTTCCATTAAATTTTCAGGGCTTTCAGAATCAATTGTCAGCTACCGATGGTAAAAATGCCAAGTTACTACTTTATTTCGTTTGGAAGTTGTATATTTTTAAAGCAGGGCGTGTAATTTCGAGAAAACGTTCATTTTCTGGGCAGCATTGTCTTGATTGAAAAAATTCAGGTTTTGGTTTGATTTGCATTACATTTTCAGGGCTTTGAGAATCAATTATCAGCTACCGGTGGTAAAAATTCCAAGTTACTACTTTATTTCGTTTGGAAATTGTATATTTTTAAATCAGGGCATGTAATTTTGAGAAAACGTTCATTTTCTGAACAGCATTGACTTGGTTGAAAAAAAAACGAAGTTTCATTCAATTTCAATTAAATTTTCAGGGCTTTCAGAATCAATTATCAGCTACCAATCGTAAAAATTCTAAGTTACTACTTTATTTCGTTTGGAAGTTGAATATTTTTAAAGCAGAGCGTGTAATTTCGAAAAAGCGTTCATTTTCTGGGCAACATTGACTTGGTTGGAAAAAAACAGATTTTGGTTCAATTTCAATTAAATTTTCAGGGCTTTCAGAATCAATTATCAGCTACCAATGGTAAAAATTCCAAGTTACTACTTCATTTCGTTTGGAAGTTGTATATTTTTAAATCAGGGCGTGTAATTTCGAGAAAACTTTCATTTTCTGGGCAGCATTGACCCATTTGAATTGAAATTTTGAAAAAGTTGAGATTGAATCTGTTTTGCGATAAAACATCCTGTAGATTAGTTATTGATTCACATTACGCTTATTATTGGATCATTAACTATTATAAAACCCGGGCCCCTTTTTCCAAAACAAAATCAGTGCGAACGTGAACGTTCGTGGCCGCAAAGCGGTTGATAATTATCAGAATGGTTTAAATAATTTCGCAACGCCAACATCCATTTCTTTAATTATGGAGAAGTTGCACCGATTGGGCGCAAAGAGAAAGTAAATCCTCTGAAATTGTCTGATCGCGCATTAAGGACAGAATTGTCGTTTTTTTATCGCCACTTTACAAAGAAAAAACGGATATTGTATTGCGAGAGAAAATCTTTATTTGGGAAACTGGAAACCGCACTAAGTGAACGAAAAATTTCTTCTAGTTGGAATTCATTGGAAATTCGCGAAATTCGATTGTTTAAGCATGGACAATTCGTGCTGAAGCACTTTATTGCAATTCTTTACGGTGTCTAATTGTGTGTAGTGGACAAAACAAGTCGCGTGTGCTTCCGTCGGTCCTTACCAGTTCAATTTGTGGATAAAAGCTCAAGTTATTACTTTGTCATGCTATTGACCTTCATTTTACTGGCATTGAAGTATAACATTTTCCAAAGAGGATTTTTGCTAGAAGTACCAATAGTAGTACGCCTGCTACAAAGAAAAATGGAAAACTGTTTTAAAAGCTTCTATTTGTAAGGCAGAGTCACCCCTGAGGGTTACGTAGTTTCCACATTGCACCGCCTTTCTAACTGGAGATTTTGAACTACTTAGCTGCTAAGTAAAGCACTCAGTGTCTCAATTTACACCCAATTACTTACGTTATACATTCGGACTTATTAGCGCATAAAGCTTTTAATTTCAGTGAAAAGAAGCTGAAACGTTTACTTGCTCTGAATCATTCCAAACCAGTCAAATGAAGAATATATTATAGCGCTTAGCAGAGACCGATGTTGACCGGAGGTTCAATTTGGGTCCATGAACTTGGAATATTAATTAAATAATTTTCAACAGTAGTTTTTAGCAGAACCGACACAAAGAGCGGTTTATTGTGGGCAGGGATTCCCGATTTTAGCTACCTGTTCATCAATTTACGATTAAGCAACTAAAAGCTGCAAGCAAACAGTATCTGGAACAATTTTCTCTCTTTCCTTCCTATGGCCATCTCTAATGGTTTTTGAGTGGCTAATTATTGAAAAGTTGCTAAATCATCAATCAGTTCAGAATAACATTTCATGTTTGATGAAAATCGACTTGATGCTCGTGAAAATAGCATTATCGTGTATTTCCAAATTGCGGATGATTGTGGCTTCGAAAATGGCACTAAATCTGTACTTTCCGAGCCAGTTTGATCGGAAACTGAAAACATCTATTTTCTCCTTTGAGAATGTACGGTCGCAGCCAAACAACATTTAACTAGATATAATAAACAAGGTAAATTGGTCGACCAACATATTTAAACGGACAGTACAGAATCCGCAACGTATTTAAAAAGTTTTCTAGACTCGACCACCTATTGAGAGCCGCAGAAGATTCTTTTAATGACTATTTGCCTTTTAATTGGCCTTCGGAGAAGAGGCACACCCAGGGATAGCGATTTAATTTTGCGAACGGTACAATGGCTAATTTAAAAAATTGGTTCACATGCCGTTAATGGCAATAAATATTGCTTTATTGCTATTGGTATTAACTTGTTATCGAACCTTGCGGCTTTTATTGCCCTAAACTAATTCAAACTGGATATGGGACTACCGGTTTTGAAAGGTTTCATGATTCACCCGGCTCTTGTCGTTTTTTTCCTGCAACCCACGCTTTTGCAACGCCAATAGATTGACTGATCAAAGAAAACAAGTATAAACAATAAATGTCGATGCCTGACCAGACTGTGGCTCTTGCAGGCACTTCAAGGAAAAATGCCTCGAAACCCGATGAACTGTAACGGAATTTATTTTCTTTTTGTTTGTGCTGAAAGAAAACACTGTTTCAGCTTACCTGCTAACTGCTAGAATCGGGCTAAGAACAAGATTCTTTCATTTTACTACCGCGGCTTCATAGAAAAAATCAATGAAAGCATAGATCAGAAGTTGAATGGTACTAACTCGATTTAAGTGGCTGGTCCAATCCAATCCAATTACTGGCAAAAAAATCGATTTTTTTAAACTCACACAGTTAAAAGAAGCAGTTTTTGTTTCTACTGGTGCAAGAGTGAAATTTTGAAGTGTTAAAAACCGCGCTTAGATTTTTGTTCAAAATTAGGGAACTTTAAGAGAAGCAGACCTCTAAGTTTCTTCTACTGGGTAGAGCATTGAGGTGCGCTATTTTTATATTAAACATCGTTCTAGAAAAGTTTCTAGTTATCTCATGAAATGCGAAAGTGCAGAAATAGTCGACTTTTTTAACACCGCGCTTAGATGTTTGCTCAAACTTAGCGATTCTTTACAGCAGCAGACCTCTAGTTTTTTCTATTGGGTAGAGCATCGAAGTGTGCTCTTTTTGATACAAAACATCGTCCACGAAAAGTTTCTAGTTATCTTAGGAAATGCGAGTGCAAAAATACTTGATTTTTCAAAACCACCCTTAGATTTTTGCTCAGACTTAGAGAACCTTAAGAGTAACTGAGCTCTTGTCTTCCCACTGGATAGAGCATTGAAGTGCGATCTTTTTGTTATAAGGCATCGTCATAGCAAAGTTGTTGGTTATCTCGGAAAATGCAAAAGTGCTAAAATAGTTGATTTTTTAAAACCGCGCTTAGATTTTTGCTCAGACTTAGAGAACCTTTAGAGTAGCTGACCTCTAGTCTTTCTTCTGGATAGGTCATTGAAGTTCCCTCTTTTGGATATAAAGCAGCATCGTTGAAAAGTTTCTAGTTATCTCAGAAAATGGAAAAGTTCGAAAATAGTTGATTTTTTCAAAACCGCGCTTTGATTTTTGCTCAGACTTAGAGAACTTTTAAAGTAGCTGACCTTTAGTCTTTCTTCTGGAGATAGCATTAAAGTGCACTCGATTTTATGTAAAACATCGCCGTAGAAAAGTTTCTAGTTGTCTCGAGAAATGCGAAAGTCTGAAAATAGTTGATTTTTTCAAAACCACGCTTAAATTTTTGCTCAGACTTGGAGAATCTTTAGAGTAGCTATCCTCTAGTCTTCCTACTGGATAGAGCATTGAAGTGAGCTCTTTTTTATATGAAACATTGCCGTAGAAAAGTTTCTAATTATCTCAGGAAATGCGAAAATAGTTGATTTTTTTCAAAACCGCCTTTTGATTTTTGCTCAGACTTAGAGAACTTTTAAAGTAGCTGACCTTTAGTCTTTCTTCTGGACATAGCATTAAAGTGYGCTCAATTTTATGTAAAACATCGCCGTAGAAAAGTTTCTAGTTGTCWCGGGAAATGCGAAAGTGCAAAAATAATTGATTTTTTCAAAACCACGCTTAAATTTTTGCTCAGACTTAGAGAACCTTTWGAGTAGCTAACCTCTAGTCTTCCTACTGGATAGAGGATTGAAGTGAGCTSTTTTTTATATGAAACATTGCCGTAGAAAAGTTTCTAATTATCTCGGGAAATGCRAAAATAGTTGATTTTTTTCAAAACCGCCCTTTGATTTTTACTCAGACTRAGAGARCCTTTAGGGTAGCTGACCTTTAGTTCTCCTACTGGATAGAGCATTGAAGTGCGCTCTTTTTGATATAGCATCGTCGTTGAAAAGTTTCTAGTTATCGCATGCGAAAGCGCGAAAATTGCGAAATCTTTCAAAACCGCGCTTATATTTTTGCTCAGACTTAGAGAACCTTTACAGTAGCTGACCTCTAGTCTTTCTACTGGACAGAGCATTAAAGTGCGCTCGATTTGATATGAAACATCGTCGTAGAAAAGTTTCTAGTTATCTCGGGAAATGCGAAAGTTCTAAAATAGTTGATTTTTTCAAAACCACGCTTAGATTTTTGCCCAGACTGAGAGAACCTTTAGGGTAGCTGACCTCTAGTTCTCCTACTGGATAGAGCATTCAAGTGCACTCTTTTTGATATAGCATCGTCATTGAAAAGTTTCTATTTATCGCAGAAAATGCGAAAGTGCGAAAATAGTTAAATCTTTCAAAACCGCGCTTAGATTTTTGCTCAGACTTAGAGAACCTTTAGAGTAGCTGACATCTAGTCTTTCTGCTGGACAGAGCATTAAAATGCGCTCGATTTGATATAAAACATCGTCGTAGAAAAGTTTCTAGTTATCTCGGGAAATGCGAAAGTTCTAAAATAGTTGATTTTTTCAAAACCACACTTAGATTTTTGCTCAGACTTAGAGAACCTTTAGAGTAGCTGACCTCTAGTTTTTCTACTAGAGAGAGCATTGAAGTGCGCTTTTTCAATATAAAACATTGTTCTAGAAAAGTTTCCAGTTCATTCGAGTTTACAACTCGCAACATATTAATATAAGCCGCAACGAATAACTTCGTCGCATAGTTTGGCCCTAAAATGTCCAAAAGTCCAACAGTGAAACAAAATGTGAACAAAAATGAGCTGCTGAAAGAAAGAAAATCCCACGATCAGATTTATCCGGCAGCCCATCTGGGTCATAAATGTCCTAAAGGAAAAATGCAAGATAACGAGCCGACCATCACTCTTTGGGCGGCGAACGGCGTTTTCTTTTGAATTTTTTGGGTGTATTCTTCGGCGGCATTGCTATTTATGAATGGAAAGTGAGTCACGAACAGGAAAGTAATATTTGGAACCACTCTGTCTGGTTAACAGGTAGGCATATGCTCATCTTCAGCCGAAGAGAAATTTGCTAATGCGCGCGTGCCGAAAGTGGACTTATCTGATTTTGTCTTACAACAATAATACAATCGCTATTCAGTTGGTTTGCTTCGAGCATGTTGACTGCCAAAGACTGATTTTAATTCCTGTCCACATTTCCTGGTTAATCGATTTTAGGTATATTAACACGCACCAGAGAAACATTTCCCAAAACTGTTTCACTGGGGGCATTCGAAATGAAGCAACAATAATTTATCATTGCGCTTCTGTTATATTGTTCTAAATAAATTAATACTTGCGCAAGATCTCCTTATACTGGCTGGGCAGGTGAAACAACATGAACAATAGATTTCGTCAAACCAGCGACTGGTGGCTGATTAAAATTAATAATCAAAATTTGCTGTGAATTGCGACGAAAAGAAAATGCAATCTGGCCTTATACGACGCTCGTCTCACTGGCTTTATTAGCACCACTTTGACCACTTTCTAACAAGATTACAGACACCATCGACAAGGCCTGCGGCAGCAGCACTCGAACGAAACCAGAAGGCCTTTTTGGAATGCAGTTTGTGTTGGCTGCGTCGACACGCCGCAAAAACTATTTGGTTTCACATCTTTGTACCAAAGAGTATTAGAAATGAAAATTATAAACGCTCGCCTCTAAGCTGCTTCTTCAGCTTCTAGTCGCCTCAACATCTAATGTAGGTATTTCTAATACAAAGAACCACTCACCTGATTCACCCTTTCAATATCAAAGCGACAATTTATCAGTCAAATCCCAATCGTTTTAGACACTTTTCGAGAACAACACTGCTAAAAAGTTCACACACACACTCAATCCTTCTTCTGAGAGCTTTATCGATAGAGCGGCGCTCAGCTCCCGGGTAACCAAACACTTCGAGGCTGATCGACCAAAATCTAGCAACACGCAATCATTTACATGCTTTTACAACTGTCGATTGCCGTGAAAACAACTGAGCTTTGAAGAATGAAGAAGGCATTGGCATGAGCTAACACGCTGATTCCGTTCCCCTTCTCAACGGTCGAGGTGGGTTTGCTGATTACCTGTTCAATGTTAGTTCACCTGTTGGTGTTTTTAGCGGTCATTTCTTTGGACTTTTTCCTATTCATTAAAAGTGATTATTAAAGTCTGCAGCCATTGGGTCTTTCTCTTCAACTCTGATGAAGTTGTTAGTTTTTCCTTGATTATTTGACCGATTCGCAAGTTCATTTACGTCCATTCATGTTTTCGAAATATTGCAACAGTCCCCAAAAATCCAATATAAATATTTTTTATTTTTCTATTATTTTCTCACTTTGTAGGGTAAAGGGCGGTACCTAGGTGGAAAAATGGTTTCGATTTGAAGTCATCTTCGGTTAATTGTCAAGAAAGTTTCAATGTTGCACCCGGATTGTGGGGCAAAATTGGCAGGGAGAATTGAGCATTGATTTCCCCTGCAATTTGGGAAATTAGAAGTCATTTTAGGATGTTTTTTTTCGGGTAAAGTCCCTTCTATAAGTGCACAATGTTTCTATTTTCAGTCACTATCAGACAATTTTGGACAATTTTTAGAAATTTGCTTTTGGTTTACGGGGTGATTTTTGCACCCCGGAGTTTGGGATTTATTTATTAAAAAACTAATAAAGTGGGATAGTCGTTTTTTTTGTATTTATTTGAGAAACGTCTCCTTTATAAGTGGCAAACTTTTTAGCTTTCAGTCATCATCAGGAAATTTTCCAGAATTTTTTAAAGTTGCATGTGATCTTTGCGGATTTTTCAGCAGGTGCTCACTCACTCACTTGCTCGTGTACTGGAAAAGTTAGCCAGGCACTTTTGTATTAGATTTCTAGGGTAAAGTGTTCTCTATAAGGGGAAAACGTTTCGATTTTGGGTCATCTTCAGAGGATTTTCGGAAATTTTTCCGAATTAAGTTAGAGAGTGATATTTGTATGAGTTTTGTTCGGTATAGTCTGTTTTATCAGTGAAAAAAATGTCAATGCTATTTATTAAACAGAATTTTAATGCTGTGATTTATGAAGTCCTAAGTTTAGCATTAATTTTCCCAAAAACAACCGAAGTCGGTGACCAATTTTTGCATGTGTTTTATAATGCAAAGTGTATTCTATTTGTCAAAAAAAGTTTCGATTTTGATTTTTGAACTTGCTTTTGAAGGCCTAAGCTTGACATTTATTTTCGGAATATCCAGAAGAGTTGGAGAGTAACTTTCGGATGCATTTTCTAGGGCAAACATTGTTTTAGTTAACAAAGTGGAAATAATTTAAAATTTGTACTCATCCTCATGCAATTGACAGGATTTTTTTAGAAATTTGTTTGTATTTTGCGCTTGTTTATGCAGGTCCAAGTTTATAAGTATTTTTTTCAGAAACCACAGTGAAGCTGCAGATTCAGTTTTGAGTGCATTTTGTGGGGCAAAGTGTGTTCTATTTGTGAAAAAAGTTTTGATTTTGAGTAATCGTCAGGAAATTTCTCAGCAGTTTTTGAATATGATTTTGATTTTTGAAGTTGCTCTTGCAGGCCTAAGCCTGACATTTATTTTCTGAATATCTAGAATAATAGTTGGAGAGTTACTTTTTAATGCATTTTTTAGAGGGAACTGTATTTTATAAGTGGAAATATTTTAGAATTTGTACTCATCCTCAGGGACTTTTCAGGATTTTTTTTAGAAATTCGTTTGTATTTTGCCCTTCTTAATCTGCAAGTCTAAGTTTAGAACTAATTCTCAGATACCATTCAAGCTGCAAATTGAGTTTTGAGTGCATTTTTTAGGGCAAAGTGTGTTCTATTTGTGGAAAAGTTTTTATTTTGAGTCGAAGTCGAGTTTGAGTTGGCATTTTTGAGGAGTTTTTAAATATGTGTCTGATTTTTGAGGTTGCTCTTGCAGGGCTGAGCTTGACATTTATTTTCTGAATATCTTGAAGAGTCGGAGAATAACTTTTTTATGCATTTTCTAGGGCGAGCTGTGTTTTATAAATGGAAATATTTTAGAATTTTGACTCATCCTCAGGCCATTTTTATGATTTTCTTTTACAAATTCGTTTGTATTTAGCGCTCCTTTATGCAGGTCTAAGTTTAGAATTAATTTTCTCAGAAATAAGTGAAGCTGCAGATTCAGTTTTCAGTGCATTCTGTAGGGCAAACTGTGTTCTATTTGCGAAAAAAGTTTTGATTTTGAGTCATCGTCAGGCAATTTTTGAGGAGTTTTTAAATATGCGTCTGATTTTTGAAGTTGCTCTTGCGGGGCTGAGCTTGACATTTATTTTCTGAATATCTAGAAGAGTCGGAGATTCAATTTTCAGTGCATTTTGTAGGGAAAAGTGTGTTCTATGTGAAAAAAAGTTTCGATTTTGAGTCATCGTCAAGGAATTTTTGCGCCGTTTTTGAATGTACTTTTGATTTTTACTCATCATGGCAACACGGTGCGTCGATTACGTCATGCATCACAAAAACGACAATTCACATTTGACATTTCGCGCTATGATTTGACGTACCATGCAGTCTAGTTGAGGTTAGAAGACTCACAAATAAATAGGAATACTTTGTGAATTTTCGTCCCAACGGCTAAAGACACAATGAATCTGGACGACTCTACAGGTGTGGACGATGAATCCTTTTTATAACCCAATTATCAAAATGGTTACATTGCAGTTTCAGCCCCGGGAGATCAAACCAAGAACAAACATAAGCCAACCAAGGCGAAGAAAACGAAGGATCAGAAACAGACTGGGCTTAAGGCCGCAGTTGTGCCTCTGGATGGCACAGCTAACGATAAACTAACTGAAAAGCAACTCAGAAAACTGGAATGGGAAAAAAAACTGGCCGAGCAGAAAAAGGACTCAGCAGATGGAATGGAGGCTGTCAGTAAAGCTGCATTAAAGGCTAAACGTAGGGAGCAGCAAGAGGCACAAAGGCAGGCAAAAGAAGTCAAAGTGGCTGTAAGTAGACGGCTTATAAATGCGATCATGTAATAAAGTTACATCAACAGGTCAAACATGAGCCTGTGGACAAACCTTGTGGTAATTTGGTCTCTGTTACTTCTGAAACAGACATCAAATTGCCAGTAGGACCACAAGCGAAGAAATTGCCTGAGAAAAGCAACCCTCGTCTCAAAAAATCCAGTCGGAAGCACGTCCAGTGGGTACAACACTTGTACAGTTTGCCTAATCCAGAGTACTCATCAAAATTGGTGAATTTCAATGGCGTGCATCCTGCTTTCGTGAAACTAGGCGTTCGCTACTCGGAGAGAGTGATTTTAGGGTCTAATGCGAGATGTTTCGCCTTACTGTGCGCAATTAAAACGCTAATCGAAGACATTGAGACGCCGCCTACACAAGACTTTTGTCGACACGCCGAAGACATGTTGCAAAGTTGCACCAATTATTTGCAGGTTTGTATAAAAACCACGCTACAATGTATACGACACGTTATTATTCGAGTATTTTGCCTGAAAGCAATTTTCAAAATGTTCATAAACCATGCATTATGAAGTCTACATAGAAATTATGTTCTATAGGAATGTAGGCCATTTGCAGTCTCAATGTCAAATGCTTTGAGATCGTTTAAGCTTCAACTGAGGCGGGTTGACTCCTCTCTTTCTGATGAGGAAAAGCGAGCACGTTTGCTGGGCGCAATTGAAACCTACATAAGTAATGACATGGTTAAAGCTTGGGATGCAATTTGCCTGAGAGTCAACGAGAAAATTTGGGAAGAGGACGTTATTTTAACTTATGGCTGGTAAATGCAAGATTGTGTGCTTTCCTTATAGTGGCTTATAGAGTCTTCACAAATTTTAGTTCTTCGCTAATCAGCAAAATTCTTCTGCGCGCGAAGAATAACGGCAAGAACTTTTCCGTAATAATTGCAGATAGCCGGCCACTATTGGAGGGTCGAGAATTGCTGAGGCGACTTGTAAGCGCCCACATTAAGTGCAGCTATGTTTTGAACGATCACCACAGTTCGGTGATGAAACGAGCATCTAAGGTTCTAGTGGGGGCTCACGCCTTGCTGACTAATGGATGTTTGATGTCTCGGATAGGTAAAAAGTTATCTCAGGAGTAATGCTTTACGACAAAACTACATCCGAATTCTGAGTTGATAAACCCTCGTTAACCATTGACTTTCAGGCACAGCACAACTAGCTTTAGCTGCCCACAACTTCAATAAACCGGTGCTGGTTTGTTGTGAGATTTACAAATTTAGCGAACGCGTTCAAACTGATTCCTTCGAGTATAACGATATCGGTAAATATTCACTCAACTTCCAGTGGTAGCTAATTGAGTTGAGTCTGATAGGAGATCCAGACCTTCTCTACTCAGTAGACGGCTCGAGCGCCCCGAGCCCCTTGAGGTCATATCGAAACAGCAGCAAACTGGATACCCTTAACTTGCTCTACGACATTACACCTCCGCATCTCATCACTGGTGTTGCAACGGAATCGGCGATCTTGCCTTGCACTAGTGTACCAGCAATATTGCGAATTAATTCAGCCGAGAATATGTAGCTTTTATGCTACAGTGTGAGWTTTGCTGCAATAAATGTTAATTGTATTYCTGGCAAAGTGGTTGATTTGAARAAAGTTCAGTTTCATCGACATGAGGCATTTGCGCGGAACATTTGTTGAACATCATCCGTTAAAACCAAGAAAACCCCCCATTGATTGCAGTTGGGRCTCGWTCGCTTACAAACTTCTACTTTGCTACTAATTAACAGTAAAAACAATCTACTTTTTTTGCTKAAAATATACGCTCAYCGGACTCACAAGTAGGTTTTAACTCTTGAGACTCTCTCTCTCTCTCTCTCTTGTCCGTCGTTAGTTAAATCACATGGAAGCTCGCTAGYCACATAATTAGAAATAGAAAATATCGCTTTAAGTGTACTGAAARTTTCATTTTCTGCAAATWATCAGGTAAATATTGGCGCGTGGTTGATTCAGCACTTGACGAGCACTCAAACGCATCTTTTAGTTGCGTACAAGATTCTCCAAAAATTCATTCTGAAAAAGTTAGMCTTTATGGAAGCTCGCTAATYACATAGTTGGAAAACGCAAATCTCGCTTTAAGTGTACTGAGTTTCATTTTCTGCAAATAATCAAGTGAAWATTGGCGCGTGGTTGATTCAGCACTTGAGCGCTCAAACGCATCTCTTAGTTCCGTAAAAAAATCTTCAAAAATTAATTCTGAAAAAGTTAGACTTTATGGAAGCTCGMTAATCACATAGTTGGAAAACGCAAATCTCGCTTTAAGTGTACTGAAAGTTTCATTTTCTGCAAATAATCATGTTAATATTGGCGCGTGATTGATTCAGCACTTGAGCGCTCAAACGCATCTCTTAGTTGCGTACAAAAATCTTCAAAGATTCATTATGAAAAAGTTAGACTTTATGGAAGCTCGCTAATCGCATAGTTCGAAAACGCAAATCTCGCTTAAAATGTTTAATTTTCTACAGAAAATCTGGTGAATATTGGCGCGTGATTAATTCAGCACTTGATGAGCGCTCCAACGCATCTCTTAGTTGCGTAAAAGATTCTTCAAAAATTAATTCTGAAAAGGTTGGACTTGATGGAAGCTCGCTAGTCACACAGTTAGAAAGCGCAAATCTCGCTTCAAATGTGCTAAAAGTTTCATTTTCTACAAAAAATCTGGTGAATATTGGCGCGTGATTGATTCAGCACTTGATAAGCGCTCCAACGCGTCTCTTAGTTGCGTAAAAAATGCCTCAAAAATTAATTTTGAAAAAGTTAGGCTCGATGGAAGCTCGCTAGTTACATAATTTAAAATAAACCATCTCGCTTTAAGCGTACTGAAAGTTTCATTTTCTGCAAAAAATCAGGTGAATATTGGCGCGTGGTTGATTCACCACTTGATGAGCGCTCAAACGCATCTCTTAGTTGCGTAAAAGGTTCTTCAAAATATTATTGTGAAAAAGTTAGACTTTATGGAAGCTCGCTAATCACACAGTTGGAAAACGCAAATCTGGGTTAAAATGTGCTGAAAGTTTCATTTTCTACAAAAAATTGGTGAATATTGGCGCGTGATTGATTCAGCACTTGATGAGTGCTCCAACGCATATCTTGGTTGCGTAAAACCTTCTTCAAAAATTTATTTTAAAAAAGTTAGACTCGGTGGAAGCTCGCTAGTTACATAATTTAAAATAGACCATCTCTCTTTAAGTGTACTGAAAGTTTCATTCTCTGCAAAAAATCAGGTGAATATTGGCGCGTCGTTGATTCAGCACTTGATGAGCGTTCCAACGCATCTCTTAGTTGCGTAAAAGCTGCCTCAAAAATTAATTTTGAAAAAGTTAGACTCGATAAAAGCTCCTTAGTTACATAATTTAAAATAGAAAATCTCGCTTTAAGTGTACTGAAAGTTTCATTTTTTGCAAAAAGTCAGGTGCATATTGGCGCGTGGTTGATTCAGCACTTGATGAACGCTCAAACGCATCTCTTAGTTGCGTAAAAGGTTCTTCAAAATATTATTGTGAAAAAATTAGACTCGATGGAAGCTCGCCAGTCACATTATTAGAAATATAAAATATGGCTTGAAGTGTTTTGAAAGCCCTATTTTCTACAAAAAATCTAGTGAATATTTTCGCGTGGTTGATTCAGCACTTGACGAGCGCTCAAACGCATTTCTTAGTTGCGTAAGAGTCTGAAAAAGTTAGAGTTGATGAAAGCTCGCTAGTCACATAGTTAGAAAGCGCAAATCTCGTCGTATAGTTTGATAATCTGTGCTCTTGTCTTA